GGGATTTCACAGGCAAGAATATTGGAGTCGGTGCCATTTCTTTCTTCAGGGGATCTTCCCAAACCCACGTCTCCTGCATTGGCAGACAGATTCTTTAACCACTGAGCGGCCAGGGAAACGCTGTCTAATGAGAAGGGAAAACAATTTCACAACTTTCACAACCTCTTTTGTTCTCTCTAATTTATAAGGAACTCAAACTGTGGAAAATTCTTAGAGAGATGGGAATACCAGACCACCCTTACCTGCCTCCTGCAAAATCTGTATGCAGGTCAAGAAACAACAGTTAGAACCAGACATGGAACAACAGACTGGTTCAAAATTGGGAAAGCAGTGTATCAAAGCTGTATATGTCACTCTGTTTATTTAACTTATATGCACAGTCAATTCAATTGCTCAGTCATGTCCGATACTTTGCGACCCATGAACTGCAGAATGCCAGACTTCCCTGTCCATCACCAACTCCCAGAGCTTGCTCAAACTCACGTCCATCGAGTCAGTGATGCCATCCAACCACCTCATCCTCTGTTGTCCCCTTCTCCTGCCTTCAACCATTCCTAACATCAGGGTCTTTTCCATTGAGTCAGTTCTTTGCATCCGGTGGCCCAAGTATTGGGAGTTTCAGCTTCAGCACCAGTCTTTCCAATGAACATTCAGGACTGATTTCCTTTAGGATTGGTTGGTTTGATCTTGCAGTTCAAGGGACTCTCAAGAGTCTTCTCCAACACCACAATTCAAAAACATCAATTCTTCAGCATTCAGCCTTCTTTATGGTCCAACGCTCACATCCATACATGACTACTAGAAAAACCACTAGCTTTGACTAGACGGACCTCTGTCAGCAAAGTAATGTCTCTGCTTTTCAATATGCTGTCTAGGTTGGTTATAACTTCTCTTCCAAGGAGTAAGCATCTTTTACTTTCATGGCTGTAGTTACCATCTGCAGTGATTTTTAAGCCCCCCCAAAAATAAAGTCTGTCACTGTTCCCATTGTTTACCCCTCTATTTGCCACGAAGTGATGGGACCAAATGCCACGATCGTTATTTGAATGTTGAGTTTTAAGCCAGCTTTTTCACTCTCCTCTTTCGCTTTCATCAAGAGGCTCCTTAGCTCTTTTCACTTTCTGCCATAAGGGTGGTGTCATCTGCATATCTGAAGTTATTGATATTTCTCCCAGTAATCTTGATTCCAGTTTGTACTTCATCCAGCCTGGTATTTCACATAATGTGCTTCTGCATATGTTAAATAAGCAGGGTGACAATATACAGCCTTGACGTACTCCTTTCCCAATTTGGAACCAGTCTGTTGTTCCATCTCCAGTTGTAACTGTTGCTTCCTGACCTGTATAGAGATTTCTCAGGAGGCAGGTAAGATGGTCTGGTATTCCCATCTCTTGAAGAATTTTCCAGAGTTTGCTGTGATCCACATAGTCAAAGGCTTTGGCATAGTCAAAAAAGCAGAAGTAGATGTTTTTCTGGAATTCTCTTGTTTTTTGATGCTTCAACAGATATTGGCAATTTGATCTCTGGTTCCTCTGCCTTTTCTACATCTAGCTTGAATATCTGGAAGTTCACAGTTCACGTATTGCTGAAGTCTGGCTTGGAAAGATTGGAATGCAAACTGAACTTTTCCAGTCCTGTGGCCACTGCTGAGTTTTCCAAATTTGCTGGCATATTGAGTGCAGCACTTTCACAGCATCATCTTTGAGGATCTGAAATAGTTCAACTGGAATTCCATCACCTCCACTAGCTTTGTTTGTAGTGATGCTTCCTAAGGCCCACTTCACTTCACATTCCAGGATGCCTGGCTCTAGGGGACTGATCACACCATCATGGTTATCTGGGTCATGAAGATCTTTTTTGTATAGTTCTGTGTATTCTTGCCACCTCTTCTTAATATCTTCTGCTTCTGTTAGGTCCATACCATTTCTGTCCTGTATTGTGCCCATCTTTGCATGAAATGTTCCCTTGGTCTCTATAATTTTCTTGAAGAGATCTCTAGTCTTTCCCATTCTATTGTTTCCCTCTATTTCTTTGCACTGATCACTGAAGAAGGCTTTCTTATCTCTCCTTGCTATTTTTTGGAACTCTGCATTCAAATGGGTATATCTTTCCTTTTCTCCTTTGCCTTTAGCTTCTCTTCTTTTCTCAGCTATTTGTAAGGCCTCCTCAGACAATCATTTTGCTTTATGCAGAGTACATCATGTGAAATGCCAGACTGGATGAAGCACAAGCTGGAATCACAATTGCCGGCAGAAATTTCAATAACCTCAGATATGCAGATGACACCACCCTTATTGCAGAAAGTGAAGAGGAACTAAAGAGCCTCTTTATGAAGGTAAAAGAGGAGAGTGAAAAAGCTGGCTTAAAACTCAACATTCAAAAAATGAAGATCATGGCATCTGGTCCCATCACCTCACGGCAAACAGATGAGGAAGCAATGGAAACTGTGACAGACTTTATTTTCTTGGGCTCCAAAATCACTGCAGATGTTGACTTCAGCCATGAAATTAAAAGACGCTTGCTCCTTGGAAAAGAAGCTATGACCAACCTAGACAGCATATTGAAAAGCAGAGACATTACTTTGCCAACAAAGGTCCATCTAGTCAAAGCTATGGTTTTTCCAGTAGTCATGTCTGGAAGTGGGAGCTGGACCATGAAGAAGGCTGAATGCTAAAGAATTGATGTTTTTGCCTGTGGTGTTGGAGAAGACTCTTGAGAGTCCTTCCGACTGCAAGGAAATCAAACCAGTCAATCCTAAAGGAAATCAATCCTGAATATTCATTGGAGGGACTGATGCTACGCTGAAGCTCCAACACTTTGGCCACCTTCTGCAAAAAGCTGACTCACTGGAAAAGACCCTGATGATGGGAAAGGTTGATGGCAGGAGGAGAAGGGGACAACAGAGGACAAGATGGTTGGATGGCATCACTGACTCAATGGACATGAGTTTGAGCAAGCTCCAGGAGATAGTGAAAGACAGGGAAACCTGGCGTGCTGCAGTCCATGGGGTAACAAAATATGATGTAAAGATAAGACATATATTCAGAAACTAACAGCTAGGAACATTTTAGTTTTTCCACGCTATATTGTACAGCTGAGTTCACACATACTAACTTTGTGTTCAGCTTTCTTCACTGAATATTATATTATAAACTCTTTCTGACATCAACAAAAACTATTTAGAAACATTATTTTTTAATGGGTTAAATAACATTCCAGTTGACGGAAGTAACATTATTTAACTAAGCTGCTGCTGTTGGCACACAGATTTTAAAAAAAATACTGCAGCTATATATTACTTACAAATCATAAATTAATGAAAATGGGCTAAAGAAATGCCCCTCTGCTTAAGCAAGGGTACTTTATATTCCTGTTAATGCTAAACTTTCTTCAAATTTGAGACTACCACAGACAGTATGTTCCATGTAAAGGCAGAAATAGTCCACAAAGTTCCAGAGATTTAAAAAGGCATCCTCTTCATCAAACTTTCACTGAACATCCTTCTAACCAAGCTTTACTGGGCACTAGGAATAAGCGATGAATGAATTATATCATCCTCAAAAAGCTCATGAACTAGTCAGCAAAAAAAAGAGCTGCCTGTCTTAGGTTATATTCCCAATTTGTGGTGGTTTTCAAATATGCCCATAAATTCTTGATAGTCCTTCTTTCAAGAGGTAGAATTTTAGTTCTCTCCAATTAGTGTAGGCTAAACTTACTGACTCACTTCAAATAAGCAGAATAGGATAGAAATAAAAAGCATGTGACTTCCAAGAGTAGGTTATAAAAGATACTGTGGATTCCATCTTGCTCCTTCTTTTGGATCACTCACTCAGGCGGAAGCCAAATGCCATGTCACAAGGACATGCAAATAGCCCATGAAGAGATCCATGTCACAAGGAACCAAGGTCTCTTGACAACAGCTGGCAAAGAATGGAAGCCTTCACAGCCAAGTGAGTGAGCCAGCTTAGGATTGGAGATTCTAGTTCCAGTCAAGCGTCAAAAGACTTCAGCCTGCTTCCCTGGCTAGTGTCTTGACTGCAGCCTGAGGCACACAGCTCACCACTCCCAAATTCCTGATCCAAAGAAACTATGTGAAATGATAGGTTTGTTGGGATAATTTGTATTTAGCAATAGGTAATTCCTAGGTGGCACAGAATAAAGAATCTGCTTGCCAATACAGGAAAGAGAAGAGACGTGAGTTCAATCCCTGGGTCGGGAAGATCCCTTAGATTAGGAAATGGCAACCCACTCCAATATTCTTGTCTCAAAAAATCGCATGGACAGGGGAGCCTGGTAGACTACAGTCCATGGGGCTATAAAGAGTCGGACATGAGCAGCACGCATGCAACACAATGCAACTTAAAACACAACCCAATACCAACGGCAATTAAGGCATGAAGAGAAAAGACAGATGCAAAGGAATTAATTACTAGTCCCCTCCTCTGTGTCAGGCACATACTGATACCTTTACCTACATTACCCTATTTAATCTTCGCAAAGATCTATGAAGAAAGTATTGTTTTTTCTCCATTTTACAGGTGACATTACTGATTCACAGAGTTAAAGTGACTAGAGAGTTAACATTCCCTAAGGTCTGCCTAAAGGCTTCCCCAGGTGGCTCAGTGAAAAAATAATCTGCCTGCCAATGCAGATGTCAGTTTGATCCTTGGGTCAGGAAGATCCCTTGGAGAAGGAAATGGCAACCTGCTCCAAAATTCTTGCCTGGGAAATCCCATGGACAGAGGTGCCTGGTGGGCTATATACAGTCCATGAAGTCACAGAGTTGGACATGACTAAGCACACACAAGTTCTGCCTAACTTGAAAGGCTATGCTCTTCCCTCCAGCACTTTGCTGAACTCTTGACTCCAAACTGTCCTACAACATGCTTCCCCAATGCCTGTGAAGACCCATCTGTAAAGAGACCTCAGTATGAGCCTCAGGTTGTGGCCTTACCACTACCATCGATGATAAGGACCAAAGAAGGCAGGCCCCTCCTTACCTTTCCCAGTCACATAATAGGCCCCCAGTTTGTAGCAGCTATCACTGTGTTTGTTCTCTTCACAGTTGAACTTCAACACCTTGGCAGCCTCATCAAAATTCTTCTGGATCCCTTCCAAATAGTCCACCAGTCGATAGCAACCTGTGAGGAAAGGGCAAAGTCGTTTAAGTCTGGGGGAGTAGGGAGGGTCCAGGTGTGGCAGGCTGGATGTGCCTTTTATTTAGGACAAGCCTCTGTCCTCCTGCTGGTGGCTCAAAGGTTAAAGCGTCTGCCCGCAATGCGGGAGAGCTGGGTTCAATCCCTGGGTCAGGAAGATCCCCTGGAGAAGGAAATGGCAACCCATTCCAGTATTTTTGCCTGGAAAATCCCATGGATGGAGAAGCCTGGTGGGCTACAGTCCATGGGGTCGCAAAGGGTCGGACATGACTGAGCGACTTCACTTTCTGTCCTCCTGAGGTGTGGCCACTCCTACAATGGCACTGTCTGCCCTCAGCCTGAAACTGAGCCCTCAGCCTGAAACTGAGCAATGTATAAACCGGGAATACCTTGGCCCCTATACTGGCTTTACTACTCACCAGCCCTTCTATTCCCTGTCAACAAGACCCAAAGAGCCACTGGCTTCAATGATGAAACTCTGCTAGCTTTGGAACTTCTCAGGAAGTTCAGCATTTAAACAGTGAGAACCGAAAGGGCCAACAGGCCAGTCTTCATGGCAGCAAGAAGCAGTTCTTTGATGACTATACCTTAATCCTTGGCCAGGCAGCCCACCAAGCTCCCCCGTCCCTGGGATTCTCCAGGCAATAACACTGGAGTGGGTTGCCATTTCCTTCTCCAATGCATGAAAGTGAAAAGTGAAAGGGAAGTCGCTCAGTCGTGTCTGACTCTTAGCGACCCCATGGACTGCAGCCTTCCAGGCTCCTCTGTCCGTGGGTTTTCCAGGCAAGAGTATTTGAGCATCTATCTACAACAATATAGGAGACACTGCTTTAGTTGCTGGGAATATAGTCACCTGTCCTCCTAAAAGTTACAGTCTAGAGGAGGAAACACAATAAATAAATAGCTTAGAGGAGGAAACACAATTAAAAAAATAGCTTAACAAGATGCATTCAAACCTTAATAAACACCATCAGTGAAATAAAATAGGATGATGAGAGTTTGTTGTGCATTTTGGGGGAAATGGTTAACATAGACAGGGTAATCAGGTAGGGCCTCACTGAGGACTTCAATGTGTGAGCTGAGATGTTAATAACAAGAATGAACTACCTATTTAAAGACAATGAAATGGGAAGGAGACAGAAAGACTCAGGCACAAGGAACAGTACATAAAAAGACTCAAAAAAGAGAATATGCTTGACACAGATAAGATATAATGTAGCTGGATCCAGGAGGGGCAGGAAAAGAGGAGAAGGCAGGGACCAATCAGAGGGCCTTACATTAGATAGGAAGAAACTGGCATTTTATTCCAAGTCAATAGCAAACCACTGGAAGGATTTAAGAAGGGAAGTAATATGATTCAACTTGCATTTTTAAAAGGGCACTCTAATAATCACGTTTGTATGTATCTGGATGAATATGGAGGAAGTCATGTGTGAAGGGACCCATTCCAACACTGATAATGACAAAAATGTGTTATTTCCGTCATCTGAAAATCTAGTAAATAACATAACGAAATTAAAATTTAAGTATCAGTTTATGAGTAGAGAATAGATTTAAGGGAGTTAGGGTGCAAATGGAGAGTCAAGTTAGAAAGTTACTTCAGTAATCTGGCTGAAAAATGATTTTGAAGACTACTACAGAACCAGCTATAGAAACTGCCTCCTCTCAGACTCTCTTCAAGAGCAGCATCCTGCACTTTTATATGCCCACCCAACCCTCCCTCACTGCTTAGTGTATCTCCAGGGTACAAAAACCCATATATGGCTCTCCACTGCCTACACAATAAAGGCTTTCAAATGCCTTACCCCAGCATTCAAGATCTGACACACTGTGGCCCAAGGTCCGTTCCGCCTCAATCTTATTTCTAACTACACTCTGACTTCAATTTTCAGAAAGACCATTTTCTTCACTCCCTCTGCTCCATTTAATCAGCATTACTAGCCTATTCTTCCTGACCTCTTCCAGGAGTCTTCCCCAACCATTCTGCACCTCATGGATTCTTTTAAGCCATCCTATTTCAGATCAACTCTGTAGTTGGTCAGCTGGGAGCAAGGCTGCAAGCTATTAGAAGGCAGGGCCAATATCTTTTTTTCTTCTCTTTTAAAGTATGGGTACTAAAAACAATAAAATAAAATAAAGTATGGGTACTTCCCTGGTGGTCCAGTGGCTAAGACTCCGAACTCCCAATGCAGGGGGGCCCAAGCTGGATCCTTGGTCAGGGAACTAGCTTACGGATGTGACAATTAAGAGTTTGCATGCCACAACTAAGACCAGGTGCAGCCATATAAATAAATAAAAGGGAGAAAAAAAAGCACTAAGAAGAAAACCACCCAAAGGTACTGGCTGCTCTGGATGGCCCCTTCTGGACATCACCACCCACCCACAACTGAAGTCAATGCAATGTTCCCAGAACACATGGGGCACATTCACGCCTCAGGTCCTTTTCACTAGCCCTTACCTCTGCCTGGCATGCACCTCCCTTACTTTTTTCAACACTTTGTTCAAATGCTACCTTCTTAATGATTCACCCTGACCACTCAATTTAAAGCTGCCCTCCTGAACTGCTGAGACCTTTCAGTCAATTCTTTTTCCCACTGCACTTAACTACCTTCTAACACACTATTTTAGGTTTATTAGGTTTATTTTCCAATAACCCCCACGAGAATGTAAGCTTCACGAGGACAGAGCATTTTACCAGTTCACTGATGTAGCCGTAGTCTCTCTACTCCAAATGCCCTAGCGCTTCTCTTCCTTCTCGCCAGGCCTCCGGGTTCGGTGCGGCCAGAGCATGCTCCTGCTGCGTGCCCCGCAAGTCCTCGTGGAACCCAACCCGCTCTTACACACACACACAGACACACACACGGCAGTCAGCGACGCACACAAACCCGCGTCCCCTTCCAGATCCCCTCAGAGGTCGCTCGCGTGACCCGTCAGTCCCCGTCCCTGAGGCCGGAGCCCCCACGTGTCCTTAAAGCCCTGCAGGCGGCGCTCACCGTCCGGGTCCTTCTCGCGGTAGCACTGGTAGTTGCACTCCACTTCCATGTTCTCCAGAAAGGACTTCACCTGTTCCTCGTCCTGAAAGTCCACCAAGCCGGCCATTGCTCTCGCTGGCCCAGTCGAAACCACTCCGCCGCTCTGACCCTGCCCGCGCCGCACGTCCTCCCGCCCCCGCGGTCACGTGAGCGGCGAAGGGGCGGGGCCTTGGAGGGGCGTGCCGCCTAGGTCCGCGTTCAGCCCTGAGCTGGGGAGGCGGAGCGTCCTGAGCTTTGGGCGGTCATTTGTTCTTACGGTGTTGGTCTTTGGCGGTCCCAAGTTTTCCTCTGGTCAGCCCACAGGTAAAGCCGGTAGCAGTCTTTCTGCAGCACTTTATATATAACACCAGCCCTGTGGTGTTACTGTTTCTCTGCCTGCGGCCATTTATCACATTCGTTAATTCTGTGTTCCCTAAGCGTGCGTCACCAAGTGCTTGGTTTTAGTGTTACTATAGCTAGGGGAGTATGGTTACTGCCTTGAAAGAACTTGCGGATTAGTAGCAAGAGCTTTGAATTTTGAGCACCTACTATGTTCCAGGTGTAGCTGGACAAACTAGTATTCATGAGTCTGTACAAGCACAATGAAAGGACTGATACATCTCTATTTTCCTCCCAGACCTACCCACTGCCTCCAACATGAATGAATGACCTAAGGAATGAATGGCTATGGAAGATAATATAGCTGTACTGGTTGTAGTAATAAGGCTGTTACAATAAGTTATAATAAGTACATTATAATAAGTTGCTGCAGTAGTTATAATAAGTTGCAGTAGTTATAATAAGACTGTTAATACTTAAACAGTGCTGAACTTTGTTCCAGATTCTATTCTAAGAGCTTGATAATAATTCTCTTTTAATTCTCATGGCACTCACTGTGACCTTGTGGTCACATTATTATCCTCATTTCACCAATTAAGAAGTGGCGGCATAGAGAGGTTAAGCAATTTGTCCAAGGTCACACAGGAAGTGAGTGTTGCTGTGCTGTAAATTTTTTTTTTAAATAAAAGAATGGGATACAAGAGGGACATGTCAAAGATATGGAAAAGAGGAGAGGAACTTGAGCTGGTTTTTTATTTTTCTCCTGCTCAGAATCATTGGTTTCATAAAGCCTAGACTGAAAGCTGTCCAAACATAGTTCCTATTCATCTTTGAGTCCCAGCCAGTCCCTGTCTAGAGCCTTCAGTGGAGCTCGATCCGAGGTTTCCCATCACCTAGCTATTAATCTACCCCTAAAGCCGTCAGAGAGTAGACTACTTCCGACCGCTTCCTTATTGAAGAGCAGCTTACTGCACATGGGAAATGTCTTTGAATTCCCAGTTTTGTTTTAAAAATTCATAGGATTTTTTTTTAAAATTTGGCCACACCAGGCAGAGTGTGGACTCTTAGTTCCCCAACCAGAGATTGAACTTGTGCTGCATGCACTGGGAGTGCAAAGTCTTACCCATTGGACTACCAAGGAGATCCCAATATGATTTTACGTTCAATTACATAATACATCATTCATAGCATATCATATTCCAGTTGCTGTGCCACATTTACTAGTGGTTTCTCAAACCCCTGATCACCTTCAAGGATCTCTCAGTATAGACATGTACTGACCTTTGACTATGAGTTCACCTTCCTTCACCTGTCCTCCAAGGTCCTGCATAATCTTGACTAGAGCCTCCTCTCCTGCCTCTCTCCCCCTGTACCACACCCAGCTTTCTGTTCTCTGAATCCATCCCAGGTTTGTGTCCCTGTTTATTATTGCTCATGATGCTTTGACTACCCTTCTCAAATCAGAGAACTTCTCCTCTGTAAAGTCTCTGATGCAACAACCATACATTCCCAAAGTAGATTTAGATGCTCCCACTTCAGTTTTCCATCCTACTTGGTTTATTCTGATATAATGTAATAGGAGATGACTGGTATTGAGGGGCAGACAGATCTCAGTCAGAATCTATGTCCTATGTATACAAAATTGTGTCCTTGAGCTAGTTACATTTGTGAGCCTGATTCCTCATCTCTAAATGCAGATCCCCTGTATGGCTGTCAATAGGAGTAAAATTCCATATATGCAGTATGCTTAGCACAGTGCTTACCTCAGAATTGTTCCTGTTCTAGAAATGTTTGTTAAGTCAAAAAAAAAATGAAAGTCTGTGTCCCCCCACGTAATGTGAGCTCTGTGTCCCTTGGGCTGGTCACAGAACCAAAAATAGAGCAGGGCTTGGTGAGGGTGATGTAGATAATCAAAGTCAGGGGCTGGGTCACAAATATATAATGTGCTGTGCTGTGCTTAGTCGCTCAGTCGTGTCCGCCTCTTTGTGACTCAATGACCATAGCCCTCCAGGCTGTCTGTCCGTGGGATTCTTCGGGCAAGAACACTAGAGTGGTTTGCCATGCCCTCCTCCAGGGGATCTTCCCAACCCAGGGGTTCTTCCCAACCCAGGGGTTGAACCCAGGTCTCCCACACTGCAGGTGGATTTTTTAATGTCTGAGCCACCACGGAAGCCCAAACATGTAATTCTTGTCCCTTCATCTTATTTGCAGAGTTGAACTGCACTGAAATGAGACAACCTGAGCAGCAGAGGGCGATAGACATTTGGGTAAAAGATGGAAGAGAGGCTGGGCCAAGTACGAAGTCATATTTAAAAAAAAAGACTTCTAAGGTCATCAAAAGAGCAACCTGCTTCCTTTTTTCAGTCCTGTCCTTATGTATGTAGTTTTATTCCCCTCTATTCTTATAAATGTTTGCATTTACTTTGAAAAATTATTTATTTTAATTATTCAAGTGATTCATGAATATGTGCTAACTGCAAGTTAATCTCATGTTTTTCACCTAAAAACCCTTTTTGATAAGCATGATATAGCTTGTAGACTGTTGCAAAGAAAAAGAAATTGAAGGCCTGAGAAATTAAGTGATTTATCTTAAAACACACAGTGAGAGGATCAGGAGAAACCAGGCCTCTTGGAATCCTAGAAACCATCTCAGACCCTGTAGGAAAGAATTCAAGAGCATTATAGTGCTCACTTCCTGACTATAAATTTAAATTCCACTAATAATATTAATTTTGAGTTTAAGTTCTTTAGAGATGCTATCTAAGGTATCTAATTATCTAGTATCTAAAGTACTAATTATCATTTACTCTTTTATTATTTTTATTATAATTAATATTTATTGCATGTTTATAATATCCCTGGTGGCTCAGACAGTAAAGAATCTGCCTGCAGTGTGAGAGACCCGGGTTCGATTCCTGGGTCAGGAAGACCCCCTGGAGAAGGAAATGGCAACCCACTCCAGTATTCTTGCCTGGAGAATCCCACGGACAGAGGAGGCTGGCAGGCTACAGTCCATGGGGTTGCAAAGAGTTGGACATGACTGAGCGACTAACACAACATGTTAGGCACGTCACACATCCTATCATTTTTTTAATGTTCACAGATTCCTTTTTTTAAAGTTAATTTTTATTGGCGTATAGTTGCTTTATAATGTTGTGTTAATTTCTACTGTACAGCAAAGTGAATGAGCCCTACGTATACATATATCCCCTCTTTTTTCCTTCCCATTTAGGTCACCGCAGAGCGCTGAGTAGAGTTCCCTGTGCTATATGATAGGTTCTCTATTTTATACATAGTATCAATAGCGTATGTATATCAATCCCAACCTCCCAAATTTCCCACCACCCTCCTTTTCCCCTTGATATCCATACATTTCTTCTCTACATCAGTGTCTCTACTTTTGCTTTTAAGATCACCTATACCATTTTTCTAGAATCCACATATTTGTGTTAATATATGGTATTTGTTTTTCTCTTTCTGACTTATTTCATTCTGTATGACAGTCTCTAGGTCCATCTGCGTCTCTGCGAATAATCCAATTTCCTTCCTTTTTATAGCTGAGTATCTAATTTATTCTTTACAAAATTACACTTCATTTGTTCAACAAACATTCCCTGGATGTTTAATAATAACTAGGGCCCAAGGGGTGCAGAATTGAAGAAAGCAAGATTTCAACAAGAGCATACAACTTTTAGAAGATGAAAAGCACTTGTCAATAATTATATGGTGAAATGCTCCTCCTAATGGTTAAAGGAAGGCAAAGTTAAAACAGTGCTATTTTTTAATCTTTAGATCAACAGAAATTGGCATCCTATATTTGTGAGGGTGCTGAGAAACCAGCATTCCCATACACTGCTGTTGGAAATAATAGATTGATACCTCCTCCTTAGAGATTAATTTGGTAATATCTATTAACATTTAAAATGTGTTTCATTATTTTTGGACGGTGGGAGAAAATATTTGCAAACCATCTAACAGCTGAGTGACTAAGCACACAGCACATCCCACAATAGACTTGTATCCAGAATATATAGAGAGCACTCACAGCTCAACAATAAAAAGATAATTATTAAGAAATGGGCAATAGAAATGGTAGTCCAGTGGCTTAGAGTCCAGTTTCCCAGTGCAGGGGGGCCCAGTTTCAATCCCTGTTTGGGGAACTATTAATAGATCCCACATGCTGAAACTAAGCATTCCCATGCCAAATCTGGAAGATATCATATGTGGCAACTAAGACCCAGGGCAGACAAATAAATAAATACATTTTTTTAAAGAAAGAAAATAGGCAATATATTTGAGTACACATTTCACCAAAGACATGGATGGGTAATGAGCACACAGAAAAACACCCAGCACAGGGAAATGCAAATAAAAATCTACAATGACATAACGCTATAAAATTACTGGAATGGCTATAAACAACAAGACAAATATATCAGGTGTTTACGAGGATATGAAAAAGGCTAGAACTCTTACACATTTCTGTTCAGAATGTAAATGCTACAGTGACTTTGTATTTTTTTTTAATTTGAATTTTATCTTGTAGTAAGTGGCACCCCACTCCAGTACTCTTGCCTGGAAAGTCCCATGGACAGAGGAGCCTGGTAGGCTGCAGTCCATGGGGTCACTAAGAGTAGGACACGACTGAGCAACTTCACTTTCACTTTTCACTTTCATGCATTGGAGAAGGAAATGGCAACCCGCTCCAGGGTTCTTGCCTGGAGAATCCCAGGGATGGTGGAGCCTGGT